GAGAGCAAGGGTCCTCGGGAGTGGGGGCGCATCCCGGGGCACCCAGCGAGCTGGGTCCCCCCAGGGGGCCGCGGGGAGAGCTCAGCGGGAAGACGTCCGGAGCGGCGGAAGAAGGGCGGGGTATGCCCTGGGGGCACGTGCCTAGCGAGCGCAGCGGGTGGGCTGCCACACCCGGGCCGAGGGCGCCCCCCGCGAGCTGGGCGAGTCGGGAACTGCACCCGGGACGCCCCGCCCACCGCGCGGGAGGTCCTTTGGTCCCCAGCGGATGGCGCGGAGGAGGAGCGTCAGGTGACCGCGCAGGAGGCCGGCATCTCCTTTGATGGAGACCGACTCTGTATCTCAATGAGCTTCCTGGCTCCTGCTTGTTCACTTGAATCTGACCCGGATTCACCGGCGCCCCCGCTCTGGATAACCAGGGAGACCTTAGAGAGGGTCTCAGCCGGGCAGGCACTAATTTGTCAACGCAATTTTCCAAAAGCGCCAATAAACAGAGTTCCTGTTGAATGTGTCCCCAAAGATCAACTTTCTCTGAATGTGCTTGTCATCATAACATAGATGCCTTCACTAAGGGAAGCATACCCTCACTGACTTTTTCTCCTCCTGCTTAGAAATGTCAAAAGAAACAGTTCTGTACTACTGGATAGACTAACAATTGTTTTCCCTGCTACAAGATAATGAATACATTTTATTCTATCTCCTAAAACAGTGAAAATACCTTGGTGTGATACATAGAAGAGTTACATAGTAATATTTCTTAATTAGACCAAATTGCCATATTAGTAAACAATATTGAATTTCCATTTATTACAATCCTCTTTTGTTGTTAAAATTTAAAAAGAAAAATTTATAAATTTGAAAGTTTCTTTACATCTAGGAAAAGCTCAAACATTAAAATAGGAATACTATTTTAAAATATCATTCATTTAAAAATACATTTTCTATGTATTCATATTCTCACATATTAAACTATAACTTAGTGTTCCAGATCAAAAATGCTAAAAATAAATCTCAAAAAGATTATTGGAGAAATGGCAAGGAAGTTGGAGAAAAGTATCTGCGGAAATATTACATAACTGAATATTTGTTTATTTACAGATATTTTAAGTTAACATTTTATATAATTATTATTTATTAACTTTTAATTATGGCTTAGAACACATTACATAAAATTTACCATCATAACCATTTTTAAGTGTATAGTTGATTAGTACAAAGTTTATGTACATTATTGTGCAGATCTCCAGAACTTTTTCGTCTTGCAAAACCACAAGTCTATACCCATTGAACAGCTTGCCCTCCCCAGTTTCTGTCTCTTTGCACAAACACAGAAGAAAAGCCATTGGGTTGGGTTTCTCAACCTCCAGATTTGTGTGATAGACTTCTGTTGTTTAAGCCACCCAGTCTGTGGTATTTTGTTATGGCAGCCTGAACAGACCAATAAATATGCTAATTCTATTTTCAATTTTTTTCAGAATCTGCATCCTGTTTTCCACAGCACTTGCACAATTTTATGTTTACACCAACAGAGCACGAGGGTTCCAATTTCTTCATATCATCACCAACACTTATTATTTTCTATTTAATTGATAATCACCATTCTATCGGGTCTGAGGTGACATCTCATTGTGGTTTTGATTTCCATTTCCCTGATGATTTATTATATTGGTCATCTATTCATATATCTATTGGCCATTAGTATATGATCTTTGGATAAATGTCTAAGTCTTTTGCCCATTTTTAAATTGAGTTAATTGTTTTTTGTTGGTGATAGGTTGTAGGAGTCCTCCATATATTTTAGATTAGCCCCTTAGCAGATACATGGTTTGCAAAACTTTTCTTCCATTCCATAGGTTCCTTTTCACTCTGTTGATTGTGTCTTTTGAGTATAGTAATTTTTAAGTTTGACATGAGTGTATCTTTATATTAAACTGTATCTTGTCTCAATGATAGCTTTCATATTTTGGGAAATTCACATGTAACCTTTGAAACCTCCTTAATATATGAATTTTTCTGGTAAGTCATGAGATTTTCCCTACTCATATTAATCTGAAAATTACCCTCTTGATTAACTTGCTCTGTATTTCAAAACATCATTTGGTTGTGGCTTATTTTATTTATTACTGATGGTAATGATCTCATACTTTTTAAACAATTTTTGAAAGCTTAATGAACTTCACATAATAGGAGAAAGTAATATAGTTGTATAATGAGACATCTAACCTTTTTAAAGTTACCATAAAATATTCTGCATATAAAGTGAAATATTTGTATTTATTTTTACTGTAATGAAAACTTCAATCCAAACTTAAAAAAAAGAATGGTAAATTTGATAAAAAATAAAAAATATAATTACTATTTATGTGTGTTGCATTATATGCCTAATTATACTTCCAATAGAGCATTCTTTTGCATTCTTATTTGTGCTGCATTCATATATAATTCATATATATAAAGTGAAATAACACTTTCAAATCAAAATAGAACTAAGATATTCTTGACTAGACAATCTTGTGCTCTCTCTAAATTATTTTAATCACTAATTTTGTATTTTGTTCCAAAACTAGATAATCTGAATATATGAATGATTATGTAAGACTTGAGGGCTCTAATTAATGGGGTAAGCATATTTTCATATACTTTTTTATCTTTTATAATTCAGTTGTGTCACATATATGTATGTAATTCTAGGTGGAGGAAAAAAGCAGAAGAGTAAATTTATCAGTTCATATTAAATGTGGAACAATGTATTTAATTTACTGTTTTCTAGTTAGGACATCCAGCTGAGTTTTGACTAAAGTATTAAACTGCAGCTAGAGGTTTATATGTTTTAAAATAAGTTTGGATTATATTTTGTTTGAGTCTTTGCATTCCAAATAAAAAAAGAAAAGAAAAAAACAGAGAGCTTTGCCTACATGTTAATCTATGTGTTTAATCTCCGAATTAATGTCATGTTTTTCAGGGACATCTTTAGACTGTGAATGGCATAGTCTGACTCTTCTGGTGAGAAGTGAAACAGGAAGATAGATCTGTGAGCAACCACAGGTTATTGCAGAAATTTTTAAAAATCTTCCATTGGAATTTACTTACATGTTATCTTTCTTTTTTCCCTGTCTAAAGATGTAACCTATTTTCTGTTTGGACAGCCATCATGGATTTAACTATCTCCAGAGAAGCCCAGAATATTCTTAGAGAAACCAAAATGTTATGCAAACTGATGTAGATGCCATTACCAGAGCTAAATATAATCAAGATGAATCATTATTGCAAATCATATTGACAGCAATAGCCATCTCAGAGATGATTAAAAGGATATTGAATCACATACGGGATGTAGAGACTGTTTTCAGTGTGTATAATGTGCAGACAATGTTACAAGAAAGTTACCTTCTGACACACACTGCATACTTAGGAGATCTGGTTCAGTAGCAGCAAGCTCCATTAAGTTAAAAGGAAAATATTTCTTATTTATCATCAAATGCCTCACAACAAAATCTGCTCTATCCTCTTTATAACTATCATATAACATTATGTTTAAGTCAATTAAAAACTTCTTGCTGCATATGTGCAGCCATTTTCCTGTTATTGTCATAATGCCCCAACAATAAAGGTGTCCTATGGTCATTTTTACATGTAGAATATCTGGACTGGATGAAATTTAAAAAGAAATATTACTGTTGGAGTCTACCTTGTGCCCAGGCCTGGTAAAAGTCACTTAGGGAGGCTCTCCGGGAAAATCAAACTTAGGATTTTCTCAGATGCTTGAGAAGCAAACTGTCTACTTAAAAATTCCTACAATTTAAAAATGAGGAGAGGGGCAGTTCCTGGGTGGTACAGTCAGTTAAGTGTCCGATTTTTGATCTCGGCTCAAGTCATGATGTCATGGTTCATGGGTTCTGTCCCCACATCGGGCTCTGTGCTGATGGTGAGAAGCCTGCTTGGGATTCTCTCTATCTCCTTCTCTCTCTCTCTGCCTCTCCCCCACTTGTGCGCGCTCTCTCTCTCGCTCTCTCTCTCTCTCAAAATAAATAAATAAGCTAAATTTTTTTTTTAAATTCCTATGGGGTTGGAGCTAAGTTTCCAAGGCCACTAGAGAAAAAATGAATTTTAAAAATGGAAAGTACAATATTACTCTATGTAAACATATTTTACAGAACTGACTTTCAAGTACACAACAAATGATAAATTTAGTCAATAACTCTAGTGTAAGCTTTAAAATGAAAGAACTATCATTTCCTTTCTCTTTTCCTTTTGCTTAAAAATATTATCTTTTAGAATTCAATGAGACCAAGTGATTAGAAATCAGACACAATATATGTATTCACAGGTAAATTTAGAAAAAATATATTTCTTGCTTGCTTAAAATTTACATTTCCTATAAATCTCATCTCTTACAATAATTTTTAAAAAGTGCTTTGACAAGCCAAATATGTTCTTGAATATTTGAGCAGCTTGTGTTAATTTTTTTTTTCTGCTGCCTTCAGTGACTGTCACAGAAAACAGATGCAAATAGCATCTGCTTCGGTGACAGATGCCACGTGGTGTTGGCATCCTTGAAATGTCCACTGGGTCTGTCTGGACAGTGATTAGCATTCCGTGGGGCCCATCCGTGCCATTAAGCTCCGCAGTGATAGAAATATTGTTAAATACGCTAGCGTTTTTATGTTTATCCATTTTGTCTGCAGGAGTAAACTGCAAACACCATGCTCATGACATACTTCTCCAAATCACGTTCAGGCATTTCCCAAGTACCATTACCCTATCTGTAGCTAATTAGCAAATTATAAAAATTCAGGAGAAATAGTTAAAACCATGTATACTCTTAAGGATACTTTTCTTTTTTTCTTTTTTTTCCTTTCTTTTCTTCTCTTATTCTCTTCCTTCCCTTCTCTTTTCCTCTCTTTTCCTCTCCTCTACTCTCCTCCCTTTTTTTCTTTTCTTTCTTTTTTTTTTTTTTTTTGTATTCTTAATGATCAAAACAAAACAGTCTAAAACTGCAGCTTCTAGATCCCTCTGTCCTTGCTGGTCTTGTACCTGTCCTTGAACTTGACCTTGGCCTCTCCTTGGGCAGTGCCTTTAAGAGCAGTGTCTCTGAAGACATCCTTGTTGAGGACAGTTCTGTCCAAGGGGATGTCCACAGAGTACCTTGTGGGCATGAAGCGACTGTAGTTATAAACTGTCACAAAAGACCTGACCTTTGACCTCTTGGCGATTTTCTTCTGGCCCATGACAGCTGTCACTTTGCAGCAATAGTCATTAATTCCAGCCACCAGGGCATGGATGTAGGGAAGGTCTGAGGTGCCATCATCGATGTTCTTCATGATGCTTTTTGCACCTGAGTGGTGCCTGCCCAGGACCAACACCAGCTTCTCAGGTTTCCTGAACTTGCCCATCTCAACAGCAGAAAGTTAGGAATATTTTTCTTGCATCTTCATCCTCTAGTTGTGTTTTTTATCACTCACCATGTAACTAACATTCACTGACTATTTCTTGTTGGTTGAGTTCTACACTAAACACTTCACTTATATTATCCCATTACTTCCTGACAACAAATGAGCAAACCTAGGGTCGTTATCCCAAATTACAAGTAAGGAAACTGAAACTTTTAAAGGTATAAACCTGGGGATGCACTCTAAGAGCTGCAGCCAGGACCAGGACGCTGATCCAAGTCTGACGTCAGGATGTGACTATGGCAGGTGCAATGGTCACCCTGCAAAGATGCAACATCCCAGGGTCTGGAACCACGTACACGGGAGGCTGCATGGCAAAGGGAATTGTCAGTTTCAGGGAACTGAGATTGCCAACTAGCTGACTTTAAAATAGGGAGATCATCCTGGACCACTGGGTGATCCTGCAAAAGGAATAAACAGAACAGGAAGTCAGAGTCCCACGCTCTGTGCGAAGAACCCAATCTTTTCCTGTGGGCTTTGAAGATGGGGGGTGAGGGCCTGCACCAGGGAACTGTGTAGCCTCCAGAAGCTGGAAAAGGCAAGGAAACAGAGTCTCCCTGAAATGGTCCAGAAATTAATGCCCCCCCGCCAAACTTCATTTTAGCTCATGAATGAGATTCATCTAAGATTTCTGGTCTACAGAATGCAAAATTTTTAAAAAATGTGTTAAGCCACTATGTTGGTGGTAATTGGTCACAGCAGCAACAGGAAAACACTACACTGACCCGGCGTTGCTGCGTCAGAACCCTCATTGTTAACATCCACACTATTCTGTCAGTGACCATCTCCCTGGTGAGAAGACCATTATCTGTAAGGATCAAATAAGTTCTATGGAGAGAAAAGCGAAGGATGGAGGGGAGCCTTGACACAGATTCCCCTTCTCCTATGCTAACGAATGTGCACACATTATACAGAGGACACAAGTCACCTCAATATACCCTTTGTGGTCACCTCACACACACAAAATCACTTTATATAAAATCAAATGGGCCATTCAGTCATTTATTTAGTTAATTAGTTATAAAACTGCCTTGCTCTAAAAACAATACATATTTAAGCACAAAACACAGCAAGGAACACAAACTTTCAAAGTCAGGGAGAGATCAAGGAGAACTAAGAACTCAAAATTAAGAGTTTGTGGTGAAGTTCGTATATAAAGTACATAAATCATTAAAAAGAAAAACAATCACAGAACTTAAAAGCGGGAGGACTCCTTATGTTTTGTATAAGAATTACACCTTACATATAGGGAAAATAAAAGGTTAAAATAAACAAATAAATTATAATCCAGTCAGGACATAGAAAAATCTTAAGTGACCACTGCACCCCACCAGCAAAGGGGGAAGAGCTAGATAGGCTGCAAATTTATAGTCCTGGGGACCCCATCAGAAGTATGATGATGCAATGGATGTAAAAAAAAAACTGCATTTCAAAAAACGATGGGAACTTCTTGAGAGAAGTGAGTTCCTCATGAGGTGGCACAAGATTAGGAAAGGCAAACACACAGGAGGGGAGGGTGAGAAGAAATGCCTTCCATCAGAGCAAAGTTACAATGTGACACAGGAATGAGCCTGGATGATGAAAATCCAGAGAAGACAACATCTCTGACCTAAATGCACTTACTAATTCCTCTTCAAAAGCAACTTATCAGTGTACAAAAGCAGTGTGATGAAGGCTGGGGGGAGAACAAAAGGCTTGACAAAGAGATGCCCACAAGATGGAGTGTTGTCTTTGTCCTTTTGAGCCCCTATGGCAAAATGCCACAGACTGCACGTCTTATAAACGACAGAAATGTATTCCTCACAGTTGCGGAGGCTGGAAGTAGATCAATGTGCCAGTGTGCTTGAGGGAGGTCACAGACTTTTCATTATATCTCAGATGGAGGAAGGGGACGGGATCTGTCTGGGGTCTCTTTTACAGTGACAAGAGCCTCATCAATGAGGGCTAAGCCCTTAGGACCTGGACTCACACCAAAGTCCCCACCTCCAAATATAATCACTTTGGGTAATGGATTTTTATCATATGAATTTTGGAGGGACACTAGCATTCAGACCATAGCAAGGGTATTGAGCTTCTCAGTATAATCGTATCCTAAAGGTTGGGTTTAGGATCGGACAGTGAGAGAAATACCAAACAAGAACTCAATGATCTCACTGAACCAATAGGAGCATACTGGCTAGGGAACTTCACCAGCTTTAGAAGCAGTTCACTGATGTCTGGGACCCAGTCATCAAATTGGAGAGAATGTTTTTCCCCTGGGGACAGAAAGAAAGGGGGCTTCACTGGAGAAAAAAGAGATACCCTCCCAGCTGCCTGAAGTCTGGACTAAAAAGTTGAGACAGAACTCTGACATCTCCCTGATGATCAGATACAAAACAGTACCAAAGACAGAGTACTATCAATCCTTGAAATACTTGAAGATGGTGATGAATAAAGGATGCAACAAAGCCTAGACCCATCTGAACAGTGTGTTCAAAGGGCTCAGCCCTAACCCTGATCCCAGTGGCCTGAGAAGAGTCATTCCACATGCCATTCAGTCTGTAAATAGTATTTAGTATGCTTCCCACTGTCTTATACATACCCAGGACATATTTACAAAATATAACATATTAGGAAAAAATTAAAAGATATATAATCAAGAGAGAAAAAAAGTAGCCAATAGAAGCAGATTCACAAAATACCCAGTTATCGGATTCTACACAAGGCTTTACAATAGCTATTATAAAAATGTAGAAGGAATTACTAGAAAGAGGGTCAAAATGTGCGGACATATTAGGAATTTTCTAGAATGTTGGAAACTTAAAAAAAAAAAAAAACCTAACTGGACATTCTACAGCTAAAATATAAAATTTCAAAGATGAACATATCGTTCAATGAGTTTAGCTATGGACTAGACTTAGCTGCATAAATTAGGGTACCTTGGGAGTGCCTGGGTAGCTCCATTGGTTGAGCATCTGACTCTTAATTTCAGCTCAGATCATGATCCCAGGGTCATGGCACTAAGCTCAGCATGGAGCCCGCTTATGATTCTCTCTCTCTCTCCCTCTGCTCATCTTTTCCACTCATGCTCTCTCTAAGAAAAGAAAAAAAAAAAAAGAAAAAAAGAAAGAAATTAAGTTACCTTTAAGACTAGTCCATAATAATGAACAAAACATAAAAAAAGGAAATTATGTTTGAGACCTATGGGGTAATATCAAAATGAAAAACAAAAGTCCAACTATATTTTTTAAAAATAAAGGTAGTGAATATGGAGGAGACACATTATAAAAGATAATGCATACGAATTTTCCAAGATTGATCGAACTCAGTAATCCCCAAGTACCATACATGCAAAGAAAACCACACTGAGATACCTCAGCAGGCACGCTGCAGAGAAAGACAGAGGAAAGCAACAATAAAAGGAACCCTTGTGCAGTGTCGGTGAGAATGGAAACTGGTGTGGCTGCTGTGGAAAACAGTAAAGAGTTTCCTCAAAAACTTAAAAACCGAACTCCCATCTGCTACAGTGATTCCACTACTGGGTGTTTAAACAAGACAATAAAAACACAAATTTAAAAAATATATATATACCCCTATGTTTATTGTAGCACTTTTGCATTATTTACAATAGCCAAGATATAGAAGCCACCCAATTGTCCATCAATAGATTAATGGAAAAAATGATGTGGGGTGTGTGTGCACGCATGCGCACATACACATACACACACACACACACACACACACACACACACACACACAGAGGAATATGACACAGTCATGAAAAAAGGATGAGACTATGCCATTTACACTAACTTGGATGGACCTAGAGGGCATTATGCTAAGTGAAATAAGAATAAAAAAGACAAATACCCTATGATTTTGTTCATGTGTGGAATCTAAACACAGAACAAATGAATAAACACACAGAAAGCAGAATGAGACCTATAAATACAGAGAACAAACTGATGGTTGTCCGAGGTGAGGAGAGTGGCGAGGGGCGGGGGGGGGGTAAAATGGATGAAAGTGAGAGGGAGACACAGGCTTCCAGTTACTGAATGGGTCAGTCACAGGTCTAAAAGCCTCAACACAAGGAACACAGTCGATGGCACTGCAATAGTGATGTGTGACAGCAGAGCATCGTGTATAAACTTGTCCAGTCCCTACATTGTGCCCCTGAAACTGATGTAACAGTGTGTGTCAACTATACTCATTTTTTAAGCTTATTTATTTATTTTGAGAGAGAGAGACAGAGAGAGAGAGAGAGAGAGCGTGCACAAGCGAGGGAGGGGCAGAGTCAATGAGTCAACTATACTATACTCATTTTTTTAAGTTTATATATTTATTTTGAGAGAGACAGAGAGAGAGACAGAGACAGAGACAGAGAGCACAAGCGAGGGAGGGACAGAGAGAGAGAGGGATAGACAGAATCCCAAGCAGGCTACCCACCATCAGCCTGGAATCTGATGCGGGGCTCTAACTAATGAATTGTGAAATCATGACCTGAGCCAAAATCAAGAGTTGGTTGCTTAACCAATTGAGCCACCCAGATGCCCTATACTAAAAAAAAAAAAGTTTAAACAAACAAACAAAAGCAAAAACACACAAAAAGACTAACATGAACAACAATTAAAAGAGCCTAGAGAGATAGAAAATGAAATCGTGCCATTTGCAACAACGTGGATGGAACTGGAAAGTATTCTAAGTGAAATAAGTCAGCCAGAGAAAGACAAGTATCATATGATTTCACTATTATGTAGAATTTAAGCTATAAAACAGATGACATAAGGGAAGGGAAACAAAGGTAATATACAAACAGAGAGGAAGACAAAAGATAAGAGGCTCATAAATACATGAACAAACTGACTGTTGCTGGGGAGGGATTAAATAGGGTGCTTGTTGGGATGAGCACTGGGTGTTATATATGAGACACGTATCACTAAATTCTACTTCTGGAACCATTATTA